TCTACTTCCTACCTTTGCTTTCACTGTGTCTGCTTCTGCCAGCAACTTGACAACCAGGCGGCAGCACCCATATTTTATAGAGGCCAGAAATCTGGGAACCTGACCAAGGGCTGCAGTCAGCAGGCAGTGGCTGAGCTGGGACTGAACCCAGGCCTGTCTGGTCCCCAGCGTTGGATCTAAATCATCTTTCTTTGGGGCCAAAGGGTCTGGGTGGCTGTGGGCTGCCCTGGTCTGCCCTCTTACTGGGCTTGGGACAACACGGGGGGTTCCCGAGGCGTACTGTGTCTTCAGAACCAAAGGCCCCTGTGGGAGGCAAACTTCTGAAGTCATCCCCTGAAGATTCCTGTCCCCTGGTTAATTAATCAAGCACTAACCTAGGAATTGCTACAAGGAACTCTGCAGGTGGCATTAAGGTTATTGATTACATGACTTGAAGGTAGGGGGATTATCCTGGTTTATCTGAGAGTAATTATATGAGCTCGTACAAGCAGAAAAGGAGGCTAGAAAGCTGTGGCCGGAGGGAAGGTAGGGTCCAGGTGTGAGAAGGGTTGGGCATACCATTGATCCGAGATGTGGGGTCACACTCGGGGACTGGAGAGAGGCCTCTAGGAGCTCATGGAAAGTGTGGGCAGGAACACGGGCAGCCTCTGGGAATGAAGACCAGCCCCCACAAGCAAAGAGGGATCTCCGTCCTGCAACCACAAGAAACCGGTTTTTGCCAACAAACTGAATACGCTTGAATACAGGTTCTTCCCCAGAGCTCCGGGGAGGTATAGAACTGTGAGTTGACAAATGGGTGTTACTTCAAGCCACTGACTTGGTGGCAATTTGTCACGGCAGCATTAGAGGACCGATAGAATTTGTTCTGTTTTGAAAACTTTTGCTGTATTCAGACCTGTTTGTTCTGAATTGCTAAACTGTGACAATGTCACAGTCCATAGATTTCTCTGCCCAGAAAGTGCAACCTTTGAAAGCTCAGGCACCTGGCCGGCCACAGAGGGGGCTACTCCGGCTTCTCCTCGTCACCTGTTGGGCCTCCAACCTGGAACGGCTCTGGTTTTCTCCTGACAACCTCTGTGTTTGTCCTGGGGGAAGCTCCTTTTTTAATCCGTGGGAAATAGGGGATCTGTGTTCACAAAGGACAGCTCTGTCTACACAGTATCACTTGGCTCTCGTGCCAGGAGTCACCTGCGTGTGGGTGGGAGAACGTTCATGCTAATAGCACCTGGGACTTGGGGGAAGGGCTGGTGGGGATGTAGACGGCTTTCGACAGCTCTTCCTGTCCCCCCACCCACCCCGCTTTGGGGGTTCCTGGCGTGGCTTAGCTGCAGGGCAGCTGCCTTGTTGATGCTGCTTAGTCCCTTGTCCAGATGAGGCATCTGAAGCCCAGAGGAGTGACGTGACCACCTCTTGTGTTACATGGCTTTTTGGGTTTGAGTTCAGTTTCCGAGACACAGACAGGCCATACTGGAGAGGAGAGCCCAGAGACTTGCACATGTGTACTTTGTCCGCAACGTTGAGTTCAGCAACAAACTGGAGTCAGCTTGAGCAGCCTGTCAAGTACTCTGACAACCTGGGGGCTGGGATCAGAGACCACTGACCACGGGCTGAGAAGTGGGGGGGCAGGGGGGGCTGCAAGGGCCCCAGGCGCCAGGCAGGAGGATCCTCTCAGCTGAGTGCGGAGCTGCCTGCCTGTGTACTTTCTCCTGCTTCTTTTCCTGGGGCCTCTTTCTGGCTGAAAAATTGACCAAGTTGCAGAATTTCTCACTCCTCTGCTAAGAAAAATCCCTCCTCCCTGCAGGCTCCCCAGCAGAATTCAGTGAAACAGAGGCGCGTTCTTTGCTCAGGGCCATCCACCCTCACTTAGCTTGAGCCTCGTTTGTGTCCTCTGCCTGAAAGGAGCCTTTGGCTTGGTGGCCAGGTTTGCTGGAGCCAGAGAGCGCCCAGGGCTGTGGCTGCTTTGTTCCTAACCCGTGCGGAGCCTCGGAGATGCCTGCTTGCGTTAGAGTGGGGGAGGCAAGACGCACTGCCGGTGGCCAGGTGCCAAGAATCCTTTTCGCATTGGGGTCTCCTCACTTGGCTCAGTCCAGACCTGGATTCCCCCTTTTGCTGGCTCTGTGACCTTCAGACAGTTACCAAACCTCTCTGTGCATTCTTTCCTCAACTGTGAAATGGGGCTGGTAGCAGTACCCGGCTGAGAGGGGGATGGTGACAGCAGGCGGTGTCAGTTCAACGTGAGTCTGTTCTTAGCAGTTCACTGTGATAAGTGGCCTGGACCCATGTGTACTCTGGCCAGAGAGCCACATCTGTTTAGCCAGAATGTCCTTCCGAATGTGTGACCACCTCCTGCCCCAAGTCATGTAGAAGGCTATGAGTGTTTAAAAACTCTTGCCAGATTGATCTTTGTTATACCTTTTCAATCTGTCAGTCTGATACAGACTGTTTTTTTGGATTACTGTTGAGATTTCTTAAAATGTTTGGTGTCTGTACATTTCTGTGTTTGGGAGGGGAGGTCATCTTTGTAGCCTTTGCCCATTTTTTTCTCGCGCAGGCTGTTTGCTCCAGGTGTATGAGTCAAGGGCGTTATGTAGACGCGACCTGCCGTTTGTACGTCACGTGTCGTCCTCACCTGTGAGTTCTGTGCGTAGCTCTGTTCGCGGGCGAGGGCCCTTACGGTGTAGTGGGCGTACCTGCAGCTCCAGGGAAGTGGGGGTCCGGCAGACCTGACGAGGTCCTTGTCTTTGCACACAGCAGCTTACTTGTTCACGGGTACCCTTCTGGAGGTGTCGCGGTCCTCAGGCCCTGCTGCCCAGGACGTTTTTCTGCTTGGGAATTCGAGGCTCTTACTTACCAGGTGGCTGAGCCGTTAGTCTGCCGTTGAGTCTCAGGGTGCTTCACTCTCATCAGGGACCTACAGACCCCCCCTTTCCCATCGGTATTTACACGTTCATTCAGATGAGGGCAGGGAATTCATCACCTCGGCTGAGTTTATTTATAATAGGGACTCGGTGGATTTTGTGGAGGGAAAACATCACAGGCTCAGGTCCGTCGTTTTCTTTCAGACCTGACTATACTGTGTGGGTTAAAATGTCTGTTAGCTTTCTCTTCTTTTTTATTTTCAAAAATGAGCTGCAAATGCATCATGTTCTAGAGAAGTGATTCTCAAACTTTCTTGGTCCCAGGACCCCATTAAAAATGACGAAGGAGCCCTGGCCGGTTTGGCTCAGCGGTTGGAGCGTCGGCCTGCGGTCCAGAGAGACCCGGGTTCGGTTCCCGCTAAGGGCACGTATCTCGGTTGCAATTTGTCCCCGGCCCTGGTTGGTCGTGCGGGTGGCAGCCACTCGATGTGTTCCTTCACATCGATGTTTCTCTCTCTCTCTCTTCCTCTCTCTCCCTCCCGCTCTATCTGAACAAAAAATGGAAAAATGTCCTCGGGTGAGGATTAAAAAAAAAAAAAAAAAAAAAAAAAAAAAAATGACGAAGGAGCCCTGGCTGGTTTGGCTTAGCGGTTAGAGGGTCAAACCTGCAGACCAATGAGTTGCAGGTTCGATTCTGGTCAAGGGTACGTGCCTCGGTTGTGGTTTGTCCTGGCCCTGGTAAGGTCATGTGGGAGGTAACCAGTCAATGTGTCTTTCACATCGATGTTCCTCTCTGTCCCTCTCTCTCTCTCCCTCCCACTCTATCTGATGATAAATGTAAAAATACCCTCGGATGAAGATTAAAAAAAAATAATAATACAATAAAAATGACGGAGGATCCCAAAGAGCTTTTGTTCATGTAGGTTGTAGTGATTCACATATGTTGTATTAGAAATCAGAACAGAAAATCTTAAACCACAAGGATACAGAATTACGCATTCCATTAATTAGCCCTCAGAACAAGGGCCTCATCACAGGTCATGTAATTTCTGGAAAACTCTATGAGAGAACAAAAGTACCTTAGAAAATCGTTTTGACCTTGTGGACTTTTTAAGCTGGTCTACAGGAACCCCAGGGGTTCTCAGGCCACAACTTTGAGAACTGTTGCGCTAACGAATGTTTCTCAGGCGCTTCCTGCCTTGTTCATTAAGCTCATGTTTGCCATTTTTGCTGGCATGTGCATGTCCGTGTGTTTTCACGCATACGTGCAGTGTACATGGCGGTGGGCTGGGAGGAGAGGGGCCATTGCAGAATTTGAAGGTTAATGTCTAAGGCAGTAGGGCTCTCTTGAAAGGTATGGGGACATCCCTCACACGTAGGGTTACTGTAACTGGAGCTCAGTAGAATCTTCGGTAGCCTCTGTCATGCTCCATCCCTCTCCAGCAATCATATTTTGGCTGTCAGATTTTAAATGGGGCTGTGAATTGCCCGGTTAGGCTGATGTTGCTGGAGTGACCCCTAGAGAGAGCTCAGTCTCTGGGCCCCAAGGTCTTAACCTGCTGTCCTTGGATCCCCTAGAAGCTACGGATGAGCTGATTTTCCTGAAATTGCATGTGGTTGTTTTTGGCATAAAGTCTGTAGTTGTCATCTATTCTTAAAGGAGTCCCCTAATTTATCACCGTAGCCATTGCATTATACATAACTCAGTACGTGAAGAAAATGTAGATAAACCCTGTAGCAATAGAGCGATGCGTCTTCCACGGAATGGACACGCACAGCTCTCCTTAGGCTCAGGGTGGCTGCCAGGTGTCCTGGTGTCTATTGCAGGGTAGGGGGCATGCTTTGAGCTGCGGCCGGTGTGTTTATGTGCTTAGCTCTGCTTTGAGGCAGGTTTTGAGATATGGAGTGAAGGAAGCCATGGGCTGGACACCCAATACTGGAATGGAACTTCGCTGCCGTCGTTTGATCAAAACTGAGGAATTTGATTGGCGGTACCTTGCCTTGAAGGAAGCAGTTTTCAGAATTGGCACCCTGAACCACATCATCTTGTGGCCCTTAGTTTCTAAGGACTTTTGTCCATTTGTCCAGACTCTAACTGTGCTCCTCTCTCTGCCTTGTCCACTAGAGTCCCTGTAAGGAAGCCCCGCTGGTGAGCCGGACCTACCGGGGGCCGTCCGCCCGACTGCACCAGACTCCGGCAGCGGGACCCCCGATGGCAGTGGGCACCTCCCCGTGAAACCTGCCAAGCTGGACGCCACAGCTCCGCACGAAGACACTTTGGCCGACTCTGTGCCCTCTCCGGAGGCGTGCAACCATGCAGTCCTAGCCTGCGGCCCGGGCATCCCTGAGGAGCACTATGTAAGCGAGGCTGTGGAAGATGCTCCCAGCTACAGAGGGTACCGGGATGCCTGCACCATCACAGGTATGGGAGCCTTATCCTGCCGGGGAGGGAGGGCTGGGGAAAGGTGGCCGGGAGCCGCCCGGGGGAGGCATGGAGTGGGTGAGGAGGAGCCACTGGAGCCTGAGCTTTGGGACCGTGAGACCAGCCATGGAGAACTGACCTGTCTGACATGGACACGGCACCTCACAGAATTGTTGTAAAGGTTAAAGACGGGAACATCGAACCCCGAGCAGGTGCATGGCCGTAGTGAGGCTCAGTGCAGTGTGGCCCCATGCCCCTCTCTCGGGGCTCAGCGTCTTCAGACACATGATGGGTGTCCTGGGAATGAGACAGTGGTGTTGTAGGGTGCAAAACGGGACCACGTTCAGTGCCTTTGTACACTGAAGATTTGTACAGGTGGTTCTTACAGATGCTGGTGCCGGTCACACCTTCCCGTGTCCCAGGACCAGGGTGGACCCCCCCTCCCCCAGTGCCCTGGCAGCGTCTGCTGTTGTACCCATCATGCAGAGCTCTTGCTTCTCTTTCCCTCGTGGGCCCCTCGGGACAGGTGCTCGGAGCCAGCGCAGGCGAGGGTTCGGGTGGAAACGGGGTATGTCGACGTGTGGAGTGACAGCCAGGGCGTGATTCTAGTTGAGGCCACTTGTATTTGTGTTGCAGTTTGCTTTGTTTCTCAGCTTTGTCTGCAGTGTTTACTCCTGTCATTTGAAGTAATGTCCAGTGACAGTGTACAGTATGCCTGTTTACTTCCAGTAGCTTTTCACTGTTCGCGCTCACCAGTTAAGCACTGAGGCCTTGCTGTGTGTCAGGAGTTTCCTGCACACGGAGGGGCACAGAGAAGGCGCGATCCCAGCCTGCATGCCCTGCCCCTGTCTGAGTTCCCCGTCCCACGGGTGACCTACACTCGTGCCCCGAACCCCTCCCCGCCTGCCTGCTCACTGAAGGACACAGTCCCCACGTCTCCCTCTGCTATGTCACCCACTTCCCTTGGCGTGTAGGCAGTGCGAACTCCTGGTTTCCACCTCCGCCTGTTCTCCGGAGGCCTGCCCTGTCTTTGCAGATGGTACTTCCATCCTTCCAGTTGTCCAGGCCAAACACCCGGGGGCCTCCAGCACCTCTGTGTTTCTTTCACGCCCCGGTTTGCTGGGAAGTCCGTCGGCTCTCCTCCAGGATTGGACTCTCGCCGGCTCCCCAGCAGCTGCCCGGTGCAGGCCACCCTCCTCTCCCGCCTGGGTACTGCAGCGGCTCCCTCCGGCGGCCTCTCCCCTGCCTGCTCTGTGCGGCCGTTCCCCACAGCCAGAGAGGCTCTTTGAACGCATGGTCACTGGTTTGACTCTGCTCAGACCTTTAGGGGGCTTCCTTCTGACCATGGCCTGCGAGGGTCTAAGTGACAGGACACTTCCTACCCTGACCGGGCTCCTCTGTGCCCGCTCCCCTCTGGGCACACCGGCCTCCTCGCTAGGCCTTGGACACACAGATTGTCCCTCCTCAGGGTCCTTGTAGCCGCCAGGCACCAGGGTCACCTTAGCCCCCGATGTCCTCACGATTCCCTCTTCACTTTCTCTAAATGACGTTTCGTTAGGAATGTGACCACTCTGCAGAAAAAGTGGTCCCCTGCCTTTCCCCATCTCCCTTCCCCGCCTTATCCTTCTCCCCAGACTTAGCTGTGAGCTATACTTGCAGAGTATAAATAGAATAGAAACTAATAGAATAGAAACTAATCTCAGGGCAAGGACTTGTGTGCCCCCGAATCCCAGCGACTGCAATAGCGCCTGCATGTGGCCAGTGCTCCGTAAACATTTGCTGGGTAAATAAATTGTCATTTAATTATTGCTGCATCCCCATGAAGGGGGAACGTTATCCACTGTGCACAAGTAGAGACTAAATCATGAAAGGTTCAGCATCCTGCCTAAGGTCTCTGAGCTCTGGGGGGTGGGACATGTATCCAGGTCACCACCCTGGGGCGCATGTTCTCTGCCACCAGGAGTAAAGTCTGGTTGGAGAGCTGCATAAGAGAGTGGAAACTAGGTGTTCATGTGGTTAGCGCAGTGATGGGCATGAGCACTCGGGAGGGCACCAAGGAGGGGGCCTGGCCAAGCCCCAGAGGGGAAAAGATAGGGGAAGACCAGGAGGGCTTCATGGAGGAGGCAGTGCCCCAGCTGCATCTTTGTTTGTTCAGACATGTGAACCAATCCCCAGGATTCATGTGGCATCTATGCCAGTGAAATCCAGGAAACATCCAGCCTATTAGGTGGTTTCACTTTCTCTGAACGTGACAGCCGAGGACAAAGAAATGGCAGAATACAGTCCTGAAACCTCAGTTGGTACAGGGCGTGGTAACTGAAGGTTCCCTGCTGGGACACCTGTGGCCGGCTCCCAAGGACAGCTGAGAAGTAGAGCTCTGGGCCGTCACGTTTGGCAGCGGCTGGGTAAACAGGAGGGTAAGCACGGGCAGCGTTCCGTGGTTAAGGTGCTGGGCAGCCACACCACGCAGATCGCGCTCAGGTTCAGGTCTCGTTAGATGCTCACTGCGAGGAAGACACGACGTGGAAAACATGCTCGGAGCCACCTGGTGTACCCCCAAGGATGCATGTGTGGGCTCCAAGGGCTTGCCAAGGGCAGTCCCGGGAGACCACTTGGCATCTGGCCTCCGGTAGATACACTCCGCCCCCTGTTCCCAGGGAGCGCTGAGCTGAACAGACTTCTTGTTCCTTTGAAAGTTTTAGGCAAAGCCAAATGCCCATCACCCCTCCCCCCCACCTGGGGATATCGCATTTTCGGGTGTGTCATCTTCTGTTTGGGGCGGTTTTACAAGATGAGCCGATAGGGTGCCCAGGCTGCCTGGAGTTACGCAACCCGCTGTGCGTCCAGGGCAGCTCCCCACCTTAGGATTTGCCCCGACAGGCGGACTCGGAAAAGTGCTGAGGAGGACGTGGGAGGGTGGTGGGGCCGAGGTGCTGCCCGGCCGGCTCCGGTGGAGAAGGATTCCTTCTCTCTCCGAATTGCTCTGGAGTTTACTTCTGCACATGGCCCTGGCGTTTCCGTTCAGGCAGCCCGCCGGGGCCCAGCCTCGGCCAGGACCGTGCGGGGGCGAGCTCATGTGGACAAATGCTGGTGGTAAGCGTGTGTCTGCTTGTTTGGCTGCTGTTGGTTTCCTCTGTGGTGTGGCTGCAAAGGAGAAAGAACCACAGGGACGTCGTTTCTCCTCTGCTCTGTTCTGCTGGCCAGGTCGTCCTTGGACCTGTGGTAGGGAAATTGCAGTGTTGAGTCAGTGACAGGCAGAACAGAGACCTCAGTGGCTGCGCACCCCTCGTCCCCTCCTCCAGGCTCAGAGGAGGCAGGGGACGCAGGGTCCTGGGCAGCAGGTCTGAATTGGGACTGGGCCTGCCGGGCTCCCACCACGTTCCCTTCACAGTTCTTGGCAGCAGCTGAGCAGGGTCTCCAAGGTCTCTCCAGCCTCTACAACTCTGCAATTTTCTGAAATCCTGTGTCTTTGTCCTGGTTTCTGAGACCCTCGGCTGGTGTCTGGGATAGCAGAGAAGTTTTCAAAAGGTGAAGACTGTGTCTCCCTCTCTCCTCCCCTCTTTTCCGCCCTAGCTTTCTTTTTGTCCCCTTTACTAAGTGTGCGTGGCCCTGTACCTCTGACCCACGCCCCAGTGATGGCGAGCTTGCCGGCCAGTTCTGTTCTGGCTCGTCTGCCGGCTCTGGGGCTGACGTTCCTCACTTCCTCTGAGCTGATCAGAGTCTGACTGTGATGACCCATCTGGTGCCTGCCCTGTCTGGGTGCTGTCCCCCCAGGCTGTCTGGGCCACAAACCAGTGAAGCCCTGGGAGGTGTGAGCTCCTCTTGTCCAGGCGATCGGTTTTAGGGGTCAAGACGTCGGAGACTACACGAAAGAAGATGATGGAGATGCTGTGAGTGTGAGAGAGAGAGAGAGAGAGAGAGAGTGAGTGTGTGTGTGTGTGTGTAGCTTCAGGTTTATTCAGTCATTCTGTTCAGTTGGCATTGATTCAGGGCTGGCTTTTTGCTGGGTTCTGTTGAGGAGAGCAGGTCTGGCCCCAGAGCCTTGAATGTGGGCAGAGGGGTGAATGACTGGCTGTGACCCCAATGAGAGTAGCTCCCAGTATGCTCTAGGAGCAGCCTGCCTGGGTGTCCTGTTCTCCACTGGGCCACCATTTAGGATTTGTTCTCTCACTAATATAAGCCATCAAACTTGAGGATTTATTGTCTGCAAACATGCCCAGATAAAATTCTATGGATTTCTTTTCTTTTCTTTTTTTCTTTTTTATCCTCACCCGAGGACATTTTTGCATTTTTTGTTCAGAGAGAGGAAGAGAGAGAGAGAGAAACATCGATGTGAAGGGACACATCGATTGGTTGCCACCCACACGACCAACCAGGGCCGGGGACAAACTGCAACCGAGGTACATGCCCTTAGCGGGAACCGAACCCGGGTCTCTCTGTACCGCAGGCCGACGCTCTAACCGCTGAGCCCAACCGGCCAGGGCTCTATGGATTTCTTATAAGGGTTAAATGTAAAGTCTTGCTTATGAACAACTCCTGCCTAGAATAAAATTGTATTTTCCATTGGAAATGTATCATCTATTTGCTACTGACTTAACTAAATGAAACAGAAAAGAATGGACAGTTGAAATATCCCTTTCTTCACTGGGAAGATGTGAATTAGAATCTAGGACAAAAAAACTTCTTTCTGAATTTGTAACTTAGAAATGTTACAGATGTAACTTGGAAGTGAGTTTTGCTCCTTCTCTCCCTGGAATCTCCCTATACAACAGTTTATAAAGCTGGAGCGGGGCGCCTTATGCTGATCTCTAGACCTAACTAATCTTTAGCAAGAACACAAAAGCACGCGCCTCTTTCAACCATGCCCTAAGTGATTGGGTGGCCACCAGCTCTTTGCCTCCCCTCATTTATCACACAGGGTTTCTAACATAAATTGTAACATTTAGTTAAAATAGATTAGTGAGATTCTTGATATGGGGGGGGGGGACTACCTTTCCAGG